GCCAGGACTGTGTCATATGTTCATAATTGTATTACGTCCCCCTCTGTGAGCTAGAAGAGAATAAGGGACCTGCTGGTAGCTAAAGGAGACCTGCTTTTGCTCAACTAATAGAGCCCAGGAATTCCAGGCTGGAATTTTTAAGAGACTGAAGAACCATGATTATAGTCCTGAGGAAATTTGAAGACCTTTGAAAATCTCCCACTTGAAAAGAAAGAACCATGGTTATAGTCCTCCTCTTTCCTGAGACAGCCAGTTTCCAGAGCCCTCACTTAGAGCTGAGTGAATCATTACATGTCCAAATGTAAAAATCTTGGGGAAAGTTCTATTGTCCTTTTCTATTTCTGCATATATGTGCATATATGGTCTACATATATATAACCCATCCCAGGTGTTAGCTGTTAATAAAGTTTGTCTCTACATTTGTTTTGTCTTTTCATTTGTTTTACCCTATGTTTTAGTGGTGATTAATTGAAAATATCAGTAGCAATGCAGGCTTGAACTTTCTAAGGGATGCGGGCACCTAAATCCCATTGACAATAAATAGGAATTGGGGGCTGGACTCACAGAGAAACTAACTTTTAGGCACCTAGAAAATCACTGGGATTCACAAAGCCTGAGTGAGGGTCCATGGGGCCAGATGCGCTGCATCTGAGGGTGCTAAAGTAGTTGGCGGATGTGATTGCAGAGCCATTGACCGTTATCTTTAAAAACGCATGGCCAGGACCGCCCAGAGGATTCAGGGGACCTGGGGTCTTTGGCGGCGGGGGTCCTTCCGCTCTGGATCTTCAGGGGACTTCGGCGGTGGGCCCCGGAGCGAGTGAAGGACCGGCCACCGAACTGCTGCCGAAGACCCGGAGCGGAAGAAGTCCTCGCTGCCGAATTGCCACTGAAGACCCAGAGCGGAAGAAGCTCCAGGTCTTCGGCAGCAGGTCCTTCACTCGCTCTGGGTGTGTTCAGTGGCACTGAAGGACCTGCCGCCGAAGACCTGCCGAAAACTCTCATGGGAGCCCCTGAAAACTCTCGTGGGGGCCCCTGCGGGGCCCAGGGCAAATTGCCCCACTTGCCCCCCCCAGGCAGCCCTGCTCATGGCAATCGGGGGAGGTACCGGATGACTGGAAAAAGTCTAATGTAGTGCCCATCTTTAAAAAAAGGAAGAAGGAGGATCTGGGGAACTACAGGCCAGTCAGCCTCACCTCAGTCCCTGGAAATATCATGGAGCAGGTCCTCAAGGAATCAATTTTGAAGCACTTTGAGGAGAGGAAAGTGATCAGAAGCAATCAGCATGGATTCACCAAGGGTAAGTCATGCCTGACTAACCTAATTGCCTTCTATGATGAGATAATTGGCTCTGTTGATGAGAGGAAAGCAGTGGACATGTTATTCCTTGACTTTAGCAAATCTTTTGATACCGTCTCCCACAGTATTTTTGCCAGCAAGTTAAAGAAGTATGGGCTGGATGAATGGACTATAAGGTAGATAGAAAGCTGGCTAGATCATCGGGCTCAACAGGTAGTGAACAATGGCTACAACGCAAATTGGCAACATCACATGTCAAAATATACAAGGTCAATATCCTTAAATCAAACTCTAATCAGTGCTCAGGTAGCATTTTGCTTACTTTGCCTGTCAGTCAATTTTGATTATCGATGGAAACATTTTTTTTGTCGTATTTTGTGTTTGGTGAAATCGCCGGTTAGCGATATTTATCAATAAAAATCTATTCCTTCCCAGCTTAGATCTGAGGGAAATCCTCACAGCACTCTACACTGTCTTCTGTGGATTTAGGCGTGTTCAGAGCCCATCTACCAGATCAGGTTCCACAGGAGAAAGAAGTGCAGTCATGTCTATGTTTGCGTGGTTTGAGGATCCGGCTGGGGCTTAGATTTGAGACAGGCAACCAAACACCTTGAGTGAGGCTGCGGTGTACATGTATCATGGTAGAAACATAGGCACTCAAGGGACTTTTGCAGCAAAACTTTCGGCATCAAGTGAATTAAGGCACTTATAGAGCTCGGTAACAGCTAAGTGGGAGCTTTGAGGACCTCAGTGGTGCCTAAATTTTCAATTTAGGTGTCTAAAATAGTAGTGTTATTTTAATTTCGATGGAATACATGGACCCAATCAGTGTCCAATATCAAACAGTGTTAAACAAGGTTCAGGGTTTCGTATGCACATGCCTCAGCCTGCTTAGTTCCTACGGCAAACACACCATTAAAAATCCTTTAAACCTTTTATTAAAGACAAAGAAAAGAAGAAAGAGCAGTTACAGCATCTGATATGTACGTTATTAAACATGTTTTTTGTTTCAGCCACATCTCTTGTTCCCTGTCATAGAATCATAGAATATCAGGGTTGGAAGGGACCTCAGGAGGTCATCTAGTCCAACCCCCTGCTCAAAGCAGGACCTAATCCTCAACTAGATCATCCCAGCCAGGGCTTTGTCAACCCTGACCTTAAAAACCTCTAAGGAAGGCGATTCCACCACCTCCCTAGGTAACCCATTCCAGTGTTTCACCGCCCTCTTAGTGAAAAAGTTTTTCCTAATATCCAACCTAAACCTCCCCCACTGCAACTTGAGACCATTACTCCTTGTTCTATCATCTGCTACCACTGAGAACAGTCTAGATCCATCTAGATCCATCCTCTTTGGAACCCCCTTTCAGGTAGTTGAAAGCAGCTACCAAATCCCCCCTCATTCTTCTCCTCTGCAGACTAAATAATCCCAGTTCCCTCAGTCTCTCCTCATAAGTCATGTGCTCCAGACCCCTAATCATTTTTGTTGCCCTCCGCTGGACTCTTTCCAATTTTTCCACATCCTTCTTGTAATGTGGAGCCCAAAACTGGACACAATACTTCATATGAGGCCTCACCAATGCCGAATAGAGGGGAACGATCACGTCCCTCGATCTCCTGGCAATGCCCCTACTTATACAGCCCAAAATGCCGTTAGCCTTCTTGGCAACAAGGGCACACTGTTGACTCATATCCAGCTTCTCGTCCACCATAACCCTTAGGTCCTTTTCTGCAGAACTGCTGCCTAGCCACTCGGTCCCTAGTCTGTAGCAGTGCATGGGATTCTTCCTTACTAAGTGCAGGACTCTGCACTTGTCCTTGTTGAACCTCATCAGGTTTCTTTTGGCCCAATCCTCTAATTTGTCTAGGTCCCTCTGTATCCGATCCCTACCCTCTAGTGTATCTACCACGCCTCCTAGTTTAGTGTCATCTGCAAACTTGCTGAGGGTGCAATCCACGCTATCCTCCAGATCATTAATAAAGACATTGAACAAAACCGGCCCCAGGACTGACCCTTGGGGCACTCCGCTTGATACCGCCTGCCAACTAGACATGATCACTACTGGTTGAGCCCAACGATCTAGCCAGCTTTCTATCCACCTTATAGTCCATTCATCCAGCCCATACTTCTTTAACTTGCTGGCAAGAATACTGTGGGAGACCGTATCAAAAGCTTTACTTTGTAGTGCAGAAAACCCAGCTTCACAGATCTTCTCCATATCAGGCAGAGGGGAGAACTGTTGGGTTGTCTGTATCACCTGATGAGGTGTATTAGTTCAAACCTTTCTTTGAACCAAAAGCATTTTTTGTGGTTAACAGCCAGTGATAAAGCAGTAGATTGTGACTGATAGGTAGGAAAAAGTTAGGACTAGCTACCGTCTCCTGCCGCATAGGCAGGTCATGATCAATTTCTCCTATGATGTTCCAACTACCCCCTTACATGGTAACATATTTATACATATCCATATTACATATTCATGAAATTTCTACCAATTTGCATAAAGCATTTCACAGGTTCCAATTCATATCAAAAACATGCGTGATATTAGTCTTTTCATTGGTTAATTGTTATTAACCCATAGATGTTGACCACTTCATTTACTGATTACTTTTAGTCCATAGTTGTTTTTCTCTACTATACTTTCCTTAACTGTACTTTCTTGTTTATCTTAACTTCCCTGGTCTTGTGGTCACCAGTAAGGGTGGAGCCCCTCTTACAAACACACAGTTATTGGTTATATAGCAAGCAATGTACACATTTTATCTTGGATACATTTTGAAGATTTAACACAAATTCAGAAACTTCCCACCACGGAAAGGCTAAAAGGGAGCCCCCCTTCTCCCACAACTCCCATGACATTTTGTGGATCCTTTCCTTTAGTCAAAATGACTGAAATCAAAGCAAAATTTGTCGAGTTCGATTGAAATGAAATGTTTCACTTCAACGTTACCAAAACCTAGGTTCTCTTTCTGACTCACTGTACGACTTGGAGCAAATCGATTTACCTTTCTGCACCTCAGTTTACACATCTGTAGAGTGCTGATTATAGAGAGGGTCACATTCACACAAGGGATATACTGTGAGCAAATAAATGATGCATACATTGTATTTTCCTTTTTAAATGCAGAACATTTTATTTTATATATTCTGATTGGAATTTTTTTTTATATTTCCCTTCTAAAGGCAGATTCTTCTGCATTACTGACATGAAAGGAGTGATTTTAAAAAGAAAGAAAGAAAGAAAACTTTTATTTTTTTCATACTGGTATATTTTTTCATATCTCCCTCCTAAAACACCCACTTCTTCTCCACTGGTCACAGGAAACGATCAACATCTTCATCACGGTTTTTGTTCCTAGCTGAGATGCTGTAAGTCCCATATTGGTGGACCAGTGGAAATCTTATGCTGTGGGACACTTATAAATCACTTGTCAGTTTATAACCCAGCCATCAGCACTGCAAACACAAGGCGCAGCTAAATGACACAATGAGCAGCTTTGAAAAGAAAACATTGGCCTTCCTTTGTGACCCTGCCGGGTGCGTCTTGGGAAATGCTGAGCATCCTCAAGGACTGCAGTGGAGTTGTGGGTGCTCAGCCAATTCCGGGAGGTTGTCTGCACCTCAAACAATCATGCCCATTGTGAAGCAGATGTACTAGGGAATACCAAGCCTCAATACTTCTGCACTCTCTCCTTCTTAGCCCAGCTCAGATTGTGTGTTTGATGAGCCCCAGGCACTTGGCAATTGAGTCTCTCAATGCCTCCTTGACCTTCTGGTTCCTGAGGCTGAATATGAGTGGGTTGAGTATGGGGGTCACTGCAGTGGTCATCAGAGAGGCGACCTTGTTGAAGTTCATGGAGCTGGCTTGCGAGGGCCTGACGTAGATGAAGATGGAGGTGCCATAGCCGATGGTGACCACAGTGAAATGAGAGGCGCAGGTGGAGAAAGCTTTCTGCCTGCCCTTGGCAGATGGGATCCGGATGATGGTGCAGATAATATACATATAGGAGATGACTGTCAGCAGCAGGGAGCCTAGCAACACAGGCAGCGAGATGATGAAGTCAATGAATTCCACCAGCCGGGTGTCAGCACAGGCGAGGTGCAACAAGGGGGCGCTGTCACAGAAGAAATGGTTGATGATGTTGGGGCCACAGTAGGACAATCCAAGTTTGATCTCGGTAGGGACCAAGACAGAGAAGAATCCCCCCATCCATGACCCCACCACCAACCAGACGCAGACCTTTCCATTCATGATGGTGCTGTAGCTCAGTGGGTAACATATGGCCACATACCGATCATAGGACATCATGGCCAACAGGACATACTCCGAGATTCCCAGCAGGAAATAGAAGTAGGATTGAGCCAGGCACCCATAAAAGGAGATGGTCTTCCTCTCCGATAGGAAGTTCTCCAGCATTTTCGGGACCACAGTCATAGTCATGAGTATTTCAATGAGGGACAGGTTGCAGAGGAAGAAATACATGGGTGACTGCAGGCGGTAGTCAGTGCATATTAAGGTGATGATGATGGAGTTCCCAATCATTGCCACCACCAGGATGATGAAGAATAGCATGAAAAGGAAAATCTCCACCTCGCGGGGGCTAGGGAAACCTATCAGGATGAATTCAGTCACGCGTGTCCCGTTCCTTGCTTCCATACCTGCTATGATCCTTACCTAGACAGAGAACAATAAAATAATGAAACCAACATATTTTCAAGTGTTATTGAGAACTTTACTCAGAATTGCAGTGGGAAACATGAGGTTTAATAAATAGATAACTGTAAATAATAATGGAGAAGATGCAGGAGAGGATGGAGAAAAAAATGGTGAGGAAGAAGATGAAGATGACGAACAAGAACATAAAGAAGGAGAAGAGCCTCTAAAACAAGATTGAATCATTGGGATTGATATGTGAATCACTGGGTGAGGTTCTTTGGCCTATGTTATGCAGGAGGCCAGATTAGGTGATCCATAATGGTCCCATCTGGCTTTGAAATCTATGAATCTATCAAAAAGATGACAACAACAATGAAAATAGAGTAGCAGAAGTTAATGATGATGCAAAATAACTAAACCACAAAAGTGAAACAAGGCATACTTTTATTTTTATTTTCTCCCAAGCATATGATGATCTGATCTGAACATGTAGGCTTATATTTTCAAAGCAGACTAAAATTAATTGGAATTGGCCACCTAAATCTGCTATGTACTTTGACAATGTTAATTTATTTGTCCATCATCTTTAATAATATTTCAAGGTTTGCTCTTCCCTGCTTCACGCTTTGTGCCAACAGCATGCCCTATACCAGTGGTTTTCAAACTGTGGGTCACGACCCAGTACTGGGTTGCAGAATGTAAGGCACTGGGCCACGGCGGCTCTGGTCAGCATCACCGACTGGGCCGTTAAAAGTCCCGGCGGCAGTGCTGCATGGCTAAGGCTGGCTAGTCCCTACCTGTTCTGACACCGCACTGTGCCCCGGAAGCGGCCAGCAGCAGGTCCGGCTCCTGGGTGGGGGGGGCCATGGGCCTCCGCATGCTGCACTGCCCTGAGCACTGGCTTCGCACTCCCATTGGCCAGGAACTGGCCAGCAGCAGGTGATGGGGGGGTGATGCCTGTGGGCAAGAGCTGCTTGGAGCCGCTTGCACACCTCCGCTTAGGAGCCAGACCTGCTGCTGGCCGCTTCCAGGGTGCAGCGCAATCCACGGTTCCGGGACAGGCAGGAAGCCTGCCTCTGCACCCCCGCTGCGCCACTGACCGGGAGCCGCCTGAGGTAAGCCTGCGCCCCAATCCCCTGCCCCAGCCCTGAGCGCACCTATCCCCTGCCCCCAAACCCGGAGCCCATTCCTGCACCCCAAACCCCTCATCCCCAGCCCCACCCCAGAGCCTGTACCCCCAGCACAGAGCACTGACTCCCTGCTGCACCCCAACCCAATGCCCCAGCCCTGAGCCTCCCCCCCAAACCTGGAGCCCCCTCATTCCTGACCACATCCTGCAGCCCTCACTTCCACATCGCAACCCTCTGCCCCAGCCTTGAGCCCCTCCCACACCCCAAACTCCTTATCCCCAGCTCCATTGGGTCATGGGCATCAACAATTTTCTTAAACTGGGTCATCAGAAAAAAAGTTTGAAAACCATTGCCCTATACCATACCTACCCCTATACCTACCTACCCTGAAAAATTAATCAGTAAAAAACAACCACCGAAAAATGCATCCAAAGCAAAAGAACTATAAAAAGACCTGAAACAAACAAAACAAGCAAAGAGAAAAATAACCCTACCCTCAGCAGGTTTTTATACCCCCAAAATGGAGACTAGTCAGAACCTATTTCTATGGGCAAACTATTTTATGTCAAAGATGCTGAGATAAGTGTTGGGAAGCAAGATAAAGTGAGAAGAGAAGCAAAGAGAAGAGACATTTTTACACCTATACAAAAAGAATATAAAGTAGTTGCCAGAGATTACTACTGGATTTGGTACCATTTTACACCCAGTTTGCATTCATCATGCAACAATTCTTAACGCATGGTGTAAGGCATGGGAAAATCAGATCTATTGATGGCATTTATTGAATGACATATTTGTGTATTAGGCATTATTTTACACTACTTAATAAAACAGTGACCTAAATTGTGGTGTTAGTACAGAATCTGACAGGAGTGGCTTTTCTAGTCTCTTAAATGAGAAATGTGAAATGTCAATGTTTCTTAGATTTTTAAGATCTACAAGGCTTAGAAAGGGTTTTGCTCTATGTTTTATGAAGCATCATGTAGGTTTGTGGTGTGAAATAAAAGAAAATTAATAACACTGGGGCTCATATTTCTCTGTGGTGTAATTCCTCATCCAACAGGGCTGAATCCCCTCTCACTCAGCCTGGTGTGAATGAGGTCAATGGAAGTCAAGGAATAAAGGCAACTTTGCAGTCCTGCTGCCTTCCATGGGTCTATAAGTTAGAAGCTGGCCATGTAAATGAAAATTGCTTGGCAATGCAAGAGCCAGAATATGATCTGTCTCTCATCAGTGCCTTGACTCAGGAGGATGACCAGAATGAAAAGTCAGAGAAGCTTGGCACTGTCCCTTCAGTTAGCAGATCTGAGTCTGATAAGCACTGGGGCGGGGGGGGGGGGGTGATGCAAAGGAGGAAGTTGTTGGTTTAGCCAGGGAATGCAATGTGATTCCTAGTTAGGTATGACGATGCAACAGCCAGGTAAAATTCCTGGGTTTACAGCTCTCTTTACAAGGTGGGATTTCCTGGACAACATACCAGACTCGTGGTTCAATTCTCTGTGTATTGCACCTTGTGTTCTCATTTACAGCAGAGAAAAAGGTGTGCAAAATGCTACAAAAGCAGAATGTTAGCGGGAACCTGGGGTTTCTATTCCCGGCTTTGTCACAGGCCTGCTGTGTGGCCTTGTGACAGTTCCTTCCCCTCTCTGTACCTCTCTTTCTCCTCTTAACCTTTCTTTGTCATTTCTATCTTTAGGTGGGGACTGGCTTTCCCTATATGTCTGTGCAGTGCGTAGCACAGTGGGGTTCATTTTTGTTTGGCGTTTCCAGATAATAAAAATAATAATTATTGTTGTTGTTGTTGTACACCCAGATGGCACAAGAATAAATGGCAACACAAGTTACAAGGCAATGGAGAAGCAAGCTCTATACAAAAATGCCTTGATGTGACCCCATACGAATAACACCAGAAAGTCGTAAAATAGACAAGATACAACAGTCAGAAATACTCACTTCATCTCCCACACATCATCATCAAGGAGCTGTGTTTGGATCCATTGTCCTTTCTCAAAGGGGAAAGATCCCATCCAGCCTATATGGACTCCAGAATGCAGAGTTCTCTTCTTTCAGGACATCTTCAACAAACGACAGCTGCGCTCTTCCTGCCTATACCCAGACCACTGGCTTCCGTACAGGTTTTCCAAGCTTGGAAATTTGTGTGAGAGACAACTTCATTGTAGGAATTATAGAACCACTGAGAGCAGACTTGCTAATTTAACTGTTCACTACTGTACTGACAATAACCCAAGTCTTAATCTCAGCAGTATGTATTGGCAGGATGCACCAATTTGGCTACCAGTTGAGAACCTGCTAATAGCATAATCTGTGTCAGTATCCAGCCACCACTTCCCAACATGACAAGATCATGGGTTCCAGCAGTCAGATATTTGAAGCATCGGTGCTGCGCAAGAATAATTTATCTGCTGCTTGAAATTATCTCCCCTGGCAGCAAAGAAGCATGTGGGAAATAGCCAGTTCTTTTCTGGCTCACCATGTGTATTTTTAGCCAACTGATTACTATATTCCATAACATTGTCCTCTGGGGCCAGTTATAAACATTTCTCCTGGTGGAAGGAGAAGAAAAAGTTTCCAAAATACTACTACAAAAACTATCTAAGAACTGATATTTAGCAGTATTGATCATCCACAGCAGATTAGATAGATAGATAGATATCACATTTCTTCTAGACTCCAATACCAGCATGGGCAGGCTCCTTTCCCTAAATTCAACAGTTATGTCTCCCATCGTTATCATTCATCTTGGCTTGAGGAGTCATTTTGACTGGGATCAAACTGAGGTTCAGCCATTGACAACTAAGCCCTGATCCATATTACAAAGTTAGGTCAACATAATCCAAATTGCATCAATCTATTTGTGTGTGGGTCTACACTCTAATTTGTCTCTGGCTGAGATAAGCACCCCGTTACGGTGACACAGTGAAATCACCTCCCCAAACAGTGTTGAGTCTTCGTCAACCTACTGAGGTTGATGCAGTGCAAGTGTAGACACTCTATGACCCTAGAAGTTCTCCAACAGCTGTCCCACAATGCCCCATTCCCTGGTCATAATTGTGAACTCCACTGTCCAGGGGTCACAGAGATTGGAAGCCACACATCAGTGGAAAACACCCAGCATATTTTTGAAATGCCTTTTCCTGATCACCCAGCTTGGCAAGCACACCTAGGAGCTTTTCCATGTTGTGTATATACCTCTGTGAAATCAGCAATGAAAAATAGGCACCAGTTCTAATGGACTGAGCATTGGGCTGGGACCCACACATCTGACGTCTGCTGGGCTCTCAAGGACATGTTTTAGCTAAATCACAAATTCAGCCTTCTGTCTGTCTACTCATATGGTCCTCAGCACCATATGAGCCCCTTCTAATTGTGAATGGATGGTACCCTCACAACACCCCTGTGAAAAAGGGAATTATTACTCTAATCTTACAATGGAAAACTGAGCAATAAAGAGATTAAGTGACTTCCCCAGGCTACACAGGCTGTCTAAGGAGGCCCAAAGAATTGAATCCAGGTCTCATGAATACAGGGCCAGTGCGCTATCCAGTCGATGATGGCAAGCCCTGGAGTCTGTGAGCCTAACACTCCTCTCTCTTGCAACAGTATAACTCCAATGGAGTTACACCTGATTTACATTAGGGCTGGAGCTCAGACGCTGAGACTGACGGGTTCCAGATTCCAAGCTGTGGCCTTAATGAGAGCACCTACACTGCTATTTTTAGTGTGAGCCCGCACACCCACATCAGTAGACCCAGGCTCTGAGACTCCCTGCCGTGAGGATTCTCTGCAGTGTAGACATACCCTGAGTGTCTAGACTCCAGGAGCTTATTCCCAGGGTTGGCACTGACAACTGGGTTCTGTAACCTGCAACGTCACCAGTTTTATAGATGCCACCTGTTTGTGGATTAGGGCAAAATGGTTTAGCCTGTCACAACTGGAGGGAGGGTGAGCACTAGTTTAACTCTGCCTTCCTACTGGGACTTTGCTTTCCCTGGCTGTCCAGTATGTGGATGTGACCCTGAAAGGACAGGCACTCCCTCAGCTCCCCGTGGCTTCAATTGTGAGACAGGGACCCTTTGTGTCATAGAGCCCATACTGCAGATATTTAATGGGGAGTCTACTTTAGTTCAAGTGAGCACTCGCAACACTCGGAGTTGAGGGCCAGACACTCGACTGAAGTAAATCAGCTGAGAAACTGTCCCTTTGTATATTGTGCTATTTTAAGCTGCAAAGTTCCTTCAGTAATTGATACATGGGGGTTGAACTCGGCAACACCATCTCAGTTGGATGGCAACACCCTGCAGATGGAATACCAGAAGATAGTGTGGACTTCAGGACTGTCCCACAACAAAGGAAGATGAGTATAATAGATCCAAAAGCCTGAAGGAACCATCTAATCTGACCTCCTGACTAGTGACGGCTATCGAATGTTACCCACGTATGCCTATATTGAGTCCAATACACATATATTCCAGACAGGCATCCCATCTGGGTGTAACATCAGAAGTTGGAGAATGCACCACTTCCCTTGAGAGTTGGTTCCATCCAGGGGTTAATCACCCTCCCTGTTAGACGTGTGGCACTTATTTCTAATTTGAAGTGGTCTGGTTTTAACTTCCAGCCACTGGTTCTTGTTATGACTTAAAGGGCTGTCCGTCCCCTTGGCTTGGCCTAGAGACACAGGAAACAGATAGCCAGAGTTGCAAAGGGGGCACCAGGGTAGAGAAGCAATAGGTGTGGTCCTGGATTAGCTCTGTAATCACCACAAGATTACACTTCTCTCTGGAATAGGGGATGAAGGGTTATGGAGGATCGCTCATAGTTCCCAGCCCATTCACTGGCTGGTGTTCTCCTGACCCTGCTTCTCCTACTGGTTCCAAAAGTAGGCCAGGTGGACAGGGGTCTCAAAGAGCATGATTTGTTCAGCCTTACAAACAGAAGGTGGAGGGGAGCTAGGATTGCTCTCTATAAATACATCAGAGGGATAAATACCAGGGAGGGAGAGGAGTTATTTAATTACCAATATGGTCACAAGAACAAATGGAGATAAACTGGCCATCAATAAGTTTAGGCTCGAAATTAGGCAAAGGTTTCTAAATAAGGCTATGTTTTAGTCACGGGTATTTTTAGTAAAAGTCATGGACAAGTCACAGGCAGTAAACAAAAATTCACAGCCCATGACTTGTCCATGACTTTTACTATATACCCCTGACTAAAACTTGGGACGGGAGGCTGGGGGTGCTCAGGAGGGGCGTTCTGGGGGTGATGCAGGTGCTGGGGGATGGCCCGGGACCCCTGCTGGTGCTGGGGCAGAGGCAGGCAGCAGCACACAGCCCAGGACCCCTGCTGGTGCTGGGTGGGGGAACTGGCTGGGCTGGCAGGCTCCCTACCCAGCTCCGACCAGCACGTCACTGCAGCTCCTACGGGGAGGATGGCCGGGGCGCTCCGCGCTGCTCCCGCCGCAAGCACTGGCTCCGCAGGCGCAGCTCCCACTGGCCCATTGGGAACCGCAGCCAATAGGAGCTGCAGGGGCAGTGCCTGCGGGCATGGGCAGCTCGCAGAGCCCCCCTGGCCGTTCCTCCCCCTGGGAGCTGTGGGGACATGGTGGGAGCTATGGACCCCCCCAGGTAAGTGGCCCCCCCTACCTCCTTGCCCCAGCCCTGAGCCCCCTCCCACACCCAAACTGCTGCTGATGGCCCAGGGGCTGCCTGGCTTGGGCAGCCCCTGAGCCATCACCTGCCACTGCAGAAGTCACGGAAAGTCACAGAATCCATGACTTCTGTGACCTCTGTGACAGAGATGCAACCTTATTTCTAACCATCAGAGGAGTGAAGTTCTGGAGCAGCCTCCCAAGGGCAGCAGTGAGGGCAAAAATCCTAACTGGATTCAAGACTGAGCTTGATACGTTTGTGGAGGGGACGGGATGATGGGACTGCCGACAATGGCATGGGGCACATCTGCAACTGCAATTAGCAAATATCTGCAATGGCTGGTAATGGGCACTAGATGGGGAGGGCTCTGAGTTACTACAGAGAATATGTCCCAGGTGTCTGGCTGGTGGGTCTCACCCACCTGCTCAGGGTCTAACTGATCACCATATTTGGGGTCGAGAAGGAATTTCCCCCCGTGTCTGTTTAAATTCTACACAAATCAGTGAAATTATGCATGTGTAAAGCCAATAGAAAGTGAGAGGGAGACTTAGGCCCCATAGATACTACTGCCAGCTCTGGCACCCGCTCCCTTTGTGACCCTGGGCTAGTCAACTCGATGATCTGTGCCTCCGTTTCCCCTTCTATACAATACAAGCAGTAATGCTCACCGGTGCAGTGAGATTAAACTCATCATTGCTTGCAAAGTGCTTTGAGGTCCTTGCATGAAAAAGGAACAGAATCCTATACTGCTATACCTAAAATCCCTAGTTTAGGAGCTAAAGGAGGATGAATTTTCTTCTCACTCACCCTGGTGTAGATCAGAGTTAACTGCTTTGGAATCAATGGACCCAATTTCTCTCTTACTAATCGTCATGTAAACCAGGAACAACTCCACTGATCTCAACAGACTTGTACCAGTCTAAAACTGGTGTAAGAGGAAAAGCAGGCCCAGAGAAAATTTCTGCTAGTGACTGTGCAGTTGGGCTTTGTGTATCGATTGTGTTAGGTCTCAGTTAATCTCCCAGTGGAGAAATGTCCAGTTCACAACAAATAGCTGGTGTCTTCACTGTAAGTCAGAGCGTAGAGGTAAATATTATTATTTTTAGAACATAAGAACAGCCATACTGGGTCAGACCAAAGGTCCATCTAGCCCAGAATCCTGTCTTCCAACAGTGACCAATGCCAGGTGCCCCAGAGGGAATGAACAAAAGAGGTAAACATCAAGTGATCCATTCCTTGTTGCCCATTCCCAGCTTCTGTCAAACAGAGGCTAGGGACACCATCCCTGCTCATCCTGGCTAGTAGCAGGGCCGGCTCCAGAGTTTTTGCCGCCCCAAGCGGCAGGAAAAAAAAAAAAGCCACGATCGGCGGCACTTCGGCGGCATCTCTACCACCGCCGCTTCATTCTTCGGCGGCAATTCGGCGGCAGGTCCTTCCCTCCGAGAGGGACTGATGGACCCGCCGCCAAATTGCCGCTGAAGAGCCGTACATGCTGCCCCTCTCCATTGGCCGCCCCAAGCACCTGCTTGCTGTGCTGGTGCCTGGAGCCGGCCCTGGCTACTAGCCATTGATGGACCTATCCTCCATGAATTTATCTAGTTCTTTTTTGAACCATGTTATAGTCCTGGCCTTCACAACATCCTCTGGCAAGGAGTTCCACAGGTTGACTGTGCGTTGTGTGAAAAAATATTTCCTTTTGTTTGTTTAAACTTGCTGCCTATTAATTTCACTTGGTGACCCCTAGTTCTTGTGTTATGAGAAAGAGTAAATAACACTTCGTTATTTACTCTTTCTCCACACCTGTCATGATTTTATAGACCTCAATCATATCCCCCCTTAGTTGTCTCTTTTCCAAGCTG